CTTTGCAATTAAAATTTGTTTGTGGCAATAACGGATATGAAGAACTTATTCGTCAAGGAATTCCACTTCCGAGTCTACGAACATTACAGCGAAAAGTAGAAGATTTTAAGTTCGAACCTGGAATTTCAGAAGAAATGTTTGACTATTTAAAAAATAAGAAACCTGCTTTTAAAAATGAGATTGATCTGGAATGTGGATTAATATTTGACGAAATGTCCATTACGTCAAAAAAGTCTTATAATCCTTCAACTGGATCGTTCATAGGTAATATAACGTTTCCCAACGATAAGGCTATTGCTACGCATGCTCTGGTTTTTATGCTGGTTGGCATTGGTAGTCGCTGGAAGCATGTGGTGGGGTATCATTTCACAGGCAATAGTTTTGACAGTAAAACATTAAAAGAAATTATATTTCAGACAATCAATAAAACTGAAAAAATAGGTTACCATGTAAATTTCATAACATCAGATATGGTATCTGGAAATACTGCATTGTGGAGATTATTAGATATAAGCACCGGTAGACATAGTAAAATAGTAAATTGTATTATACATCCATTCGATGCAAATCGTTATTTATATATTATTGCTGACCCACCACATATTTTCAAAAATCTTAAACAAGCGTTAATTAATAATGAAGTAATAACTATTTCTGATGATATTGTAATTAAATATAATTTACCTACAAATCAAATAAAATTAGAACATTTCAGTGAATTAATAAGTATTCAAAACAATCCTGAGCTTTTATTAACGCCTAGGTTAACTATAGACGATATATGTACCAACAATTTTAATAAAATGAGAGTGAATAAAGCCAGAAATGTTTTTTCTCATGATGTGAGTAGCTCATTTAAACTGTTAGCGGATGAGAAGAATAAACCGGAGTACATTACAACTGCTTGGTTTGTACAAATTGTTTCTAAGTGGTTTTCTCTTATGACATCAAGGTGTTGTACTATAGTATTAGGCACAAAAAATGAAAACGTATATAACGCTAGTCTTGATTTTTTAAATAACGTTATCAATATTTTTACACAATTAAAAATAGGTAATGGGTTTAAACCAGTGCAAAGAGGTATAATAATTAGCACTACGTCAATAATTGAATTAACTAACTATCTTATAACAAAAAAGAATTTTAAATTTGTTTTAACTTCTCGTTTCACTCAGGATTGTATGGAGAATCTTTTTTCTCAAATAAGACAGAAAAATGTAATACCTCACCCACTACAGTTTTCAAATGACCTAAAATTAGTTTCTATTGCAATGTACATGAAATGTATCAATAATAGCAGTTATGATAATGATGACAGAGAAAATTTACCTGGATTTGTTGAATATTTGTCAATCATAAAACAGAAAAACGAATGTGAAAGTTATTTTATCCAATCTCCAGGGGCTTGGACGTAACACATGATTCGAATGCGAAAAACAATAATGTAAGCAATAGTGACGAAATTCCACCTTTTAATCAAAATTCAATATCAAGGTTGTCAAGTTTAGAATTGAACAGTTTATATAATATTGCTGGATATATCATACAATCAATTACAAAAATATGCAAAATATGTAATAATTGCTTACAATCAGTGGGCTCAAAAACTGCATTGTCATATACATTTACAAAATTAGTACAATACAAACGTTTTACAAACAATTGTTTATTTTTTATCAATGTCGAAACATTTAAAATATTTGTAAAATTTGAACAAATATTTCGTCACTATTCCAAATACTTTAATAATATGAAAGATATTAATCTAAAATTATTTTTAATTACAAAATTAAAGGAAATTAAAGCTAATCATATCTTAGACTGTCACACAATATACATTAAAATTATTAAAAGGTTCGTAGTTTTTAGATAAAAAATTTTTAATAAAAGAAATTGTACTACTATGAAACATAAAAAGTACGATAGTAAGTCCATGGCCATGCACAATTTATTTAAAAAATTTTTTAATTATACATTACTTATATATTATATTTTTTATAATTTATTATA